TCTTCTGTGACGTCATCGAAACAATGGACCAATGTCCAGGGCCTGGACCTGAACAATCATGCATAATACGGTAGATGATTATCACACTGACCAAACATACTCATCTATATGTTATCAGTGGGGTTAGATAGACACACATTGGTCACATAGTAAACTGTTTACTATGTAACTAGTATCTTTACTCTGTAATGTGAAGTATCTACTCATTGAGATAAACTTGTGAAATACATACAAGGTTTGCGCCATGTTTACTTAGAAGATGCCTCACACAAAGTATGTTAATGATATTGCGTTTCCATGAGAATTGTAATTAAGTCAAAATGGCCGTTTTTTATTACGCATTTAGAAGTACAACACGATATAACTGTGTAGCATATATCAGTTATATGCTTACTTTGAATATGTTGTACTTGAGTAAGCAATTAGATAATACATTCAATGACTTGAGTGTATGATTATTCTAATTTAGCTTACATTATGGTAAACAACTAATAAAGTAACATATCCAAAATTGTCTTTGTTTGTCTTAGAAATATATAATTATAGCGTTGTCGATATAACGACTCATCTATCGCTTAATAAATATATAATTCCAAATTTGATTTTGTGCTTTGTAACAAGTTCAGTGATTAGTTAACAATAGCACATGTGATCCAAAAACAAATGTAAACGTTAGTATGAACGGCTATTTTGTTCCCATGAGAATATTTTTTAAAGTTATCCAAATACCCATTTTTCAGTAGGCCAATGAATAGTGGAATTTATAACTCACGGTATATCCATCATAATACACCCACATATATATTTTTTGTACACGAAATGGTATATCCCAAGAGCTTTTTTGTGATATCGATTGTACAAAACAATGGCACAAGTTTTATCACGCATACGGATACCTACTATAAATATTTATTTTACACGTTCTACTTTTAATTTTAGGGTTGATATGAACGGAATGTCAAATTATAAACATGCATGTATATGAACATACCCAAACTATTCGAACTATGCTGAATATGTGAATAGTAAATACATAACCCATTCAGACAACGGTGAGTAAATAAGATATGTAAGTAAATACGTACATCGTACAACTACACTGATAAACAATATCAGTTAGTACATATCTTAATTATTAGCGCACCTGTTTGTTTATATTACAATAATGTCTCGCTTCTTTCAATGTCGAACAATAAAAAAGATATATGTTGATATGAAATAAAATGTCAACTTAAACTTTAGCACCCCAGCCCATCTATGTTTCCCATATCAACGAATTAGATGTAAGAGCAGTTCTCCAAAATAATAATAACAAAGACACTAATTTAATTTTAAGAATTACCATGACATAAATAGGCCTTACATTTATACACATATGATGTTTTTGAACCCTACATTTTTTATGAAAGATACTTGGGGTTTAAATTTGGCAGAGCATACACAGGCGCACGTACAACATCATACCATAATACGTCACGCATATACTTACGTTGTCCGTACACCTGTCAGTCTCACTTGTTGAGCGATCGCGAGTTAATCCATAACTTATGAGAAATTTCTCCAATCGCTGTAGAGACACAGACCGTAACTATCACATGTATATTACAATTGTTAAATATCTTTTATTTGACTTAAACTTTAATGTAATAATCTGAAATTTTAAACTTGATATCATCTTAAAGTTTCATCTTTGTCTAATTTTATTATAAAACGGCGTCTTCAGAGTGTTCAAAATACTTGATTTGAACAGGGTTCTCAGATTGTATTATATGATCGGCTCTTGGCGGGGTTTTGTTTCATATCTAAGTATACAGTGTAGATACATATTATGTTCTATACTTAATCCTGTTTCATTTTTAGTTGTTTTATGTTTATGAACTCCACCAAAAGCCTCAATCACGACAGAGATAGGAAAAGTGATGATTGACAAATAACATGTCTTGAAACAATTACTTTAAATATGTAGTAAGGCAATTTTAACAAATTTGGAAAACCAACATCTTGAAATGTGTGTCACTTGTGTATCACCGTTTGATATAAAGTGTTCTCAATTAGTTGCATATCATTGGAAAACTAAATAAATAAGTAAATTTGAAGTCACTGTCGCAAGTCATTTTTCACCCGAGTCACATCGGTCTCCATTAAATGGTCTTAAATATCAGCTGTGAGGAAAAAACCTAAGTGTATACAAGACATACAGACATTAGACACACAGCTATTTGGTTTGGCAATATCCAGATAAGACAAGGCAAGTTAACATGACCATCATATAGAAATGTGTGCTCTGATTAAGTGGCCAGATTTACATTCAGAAAAACCAAATATGGACAACCGAACTCCCCTTGACCTCCTCACATACTTAATATGGCAGGAAACAGAAAAATGTCGTTAAAAAGTCCACTTTATTTAGACGTTTTTCCGTGGCATTGAAAAGATATGACAAGATAAGGTCATGTGATTTCCTCGACAAGGCGCACTTTATTTGTGGTGTATATTCATAAGTAATATTAATTACAATTAACACAAGCAAAGCAATATATTTAACCAAACCGTTCAACATGTTCAAATATACGGTTTTTCAAAATGACTCACCCAAGCTCAGATTATTTATAGAGAGCTTTTCAAACAGACTCTGTCATATTGTAAATGACATACACCGTCGAGACACATGTATTAACGTCAAACAAATGAGCGTGTGGATGGTGTAGCGCGAAGACGCATGCATATGTGAATGATGTAGCGTCGAGACATGCTCATTTGAATGACGTAGCAAATCACATTGTTAATGAAATTAAAATGAAGATAAAAAACAAACACTAAAACTTAGTAGCAATTCATTTCAATTTTATTCATTTCATATAATTACAAAGTTTAAGTTGATGGTAATAAATTAAAATGACAAAATAACAAAATAATCAAGAGAAAATTTCATCTTTGTTCAACATTGTATTGTCATAAATAACAATAAAATTGGTCAATTAACTATTTAAAACATTTCGAAGCTTTTCCGTAGACAAAGCATCATACGGATAACTACACTTACCGTAAATGAGAAAAAGGTACTTATTCAGATAAATGAAATGCATAATATAATGAAGATTAGGAGAGGCAAGTGGAACCATTGGTAACGGAATTTGGCCAGTAGCCAATATGAGCATGCTGTCTTTCCCCAGGAGAGCTTTATTTCCCCGCAAAATCAAACGAAGAGTTAACGGATGGTATTTCCTTTATTTATCAGTGGGAGTATTTCTATTATTTTAAAGCCCGAAAAGAAAGGGAAAACGTACACTTTCCAGAGGGTGGGTGCATGGATGTCTTTATCTTGTCAGGACAAATCAAGTACGACAGCACTAAAATACAACAGAGCGTGCTTTACAATGACATTTGAAGGATTCACTAGAGAAGGACTAGCGCGATAATAGAAATACAATGTCAGATATGCCTTGTCGCTCGATTTGCAGAAATATAAAAACAAGTCACTTTTTATTGTGCCCCAAATGATTTGGATACCGAAGATATGCATTAAAATGCGTGACTAGTATGGATGATTTCCCAGTGGAGTCGGCTATGTAATGGCAGTCTTCATAAAAGAACGTTGTTTTGAAACGACTAAAGCTGTTTGCGTGAAGAGGTTGTTGACATCTGGCAAAAAGATCTATTAGATGACTCTGATAATGAGATAAATGGAAACAATACAAATCAAGAACACAAAGGAAGTATAAACAAAGCATGAATCCAAGACCGGTAATTACATAACCGTTTTCATGCTCAAACTCCGACCCTGTGCTCAAGTCTAATTATTATTTTAGTTAAGTTAATTAGTTTTTCACGATATCAAAATACATATACAACACAGATATTTGTTTTAATTTGTTAGTATATATAAACAGGGGAAGGAGTTTCCCTTGGACAAAGAGAACATTAATTGAACAATTTTGAATGGCCTCATGATACCAATTATGTATATGCATATACTTATAGTGACGGACATCGTGTTGCTGTTTTCTGTGACATCGACATGGCCAGCACTTTAAGGTATCAAAATCTCGGTATAAATATTTTATTTTTTGAACAGAACAACATGCGTCGATGGATTTTAATGTTTAGGTATAATAGTGATTTGAATAAAAGATTCTTCATCATGCAATTTTATTTAATTATTCATTTTTCAAAATATCATTCCTAAACGTTTTTTCTCTGCTTTAGCAGACCTTGTATCGAAAATATTACTTATTAACTGTTTAAAGGAATTATTCAAACAATAGTGATAGTCTCGCTGTAGCACTTGTAAATCAGACGGTGAAGAAGTTTAACAAATCTCTTTAGTTCTTATGAAGGAAAGAGGTAGAGAACGTCAACAGTCCTATACTATGTAAAGAAGTCGATCTTTTACAGAGAACTTTACTCACAATGTAGAATTAGGGTAGAAGATTGGGGGGGGGGGGGGGGGGGGGGGGNAACTCATCTCCACTTCAACACCAACTGCGCTATCATTCTGCTTCATAGTTGGACTGAGAAATTCCTGAGTCAAACAGGACAAAGACAAGACTCGTACTGTTCTTCACGACCAACAGTGACCTTGCTAACATTGATTGTTTCTTCTATGACAGCCTGAAAAAATAGTATTTACAAAATATTGAATATCGTACCTAGTCTTTTCTTTAATCTTTTTCCAACATGCGCTATCGCAATAAACGGGGTTGTGTATATTAAAGTAGAAAATTGCAATTTTGATGTAAACGTTTGACAATTAGCATGACTACTAAATAAATATAAACGGACGAAAATCAGAAATTCACAATTGGTTTAACGTTTCCCTGCAGAAGTCGCCATCCTAGCACTATCACGAACGCATGCATTTTTTGATGGCCTGTCGTGATATTTATCAATGCAAAAAGTTAGATACAAAGTACGTTTCAAATAATGTCCCGTTATGCTTATTACGGAGCGGGCCTACAGATATATGTTCAGTCGTGATCTGGTCTGTTATTTCACATCTCTCTTACTCTGTCCGGGTGGTATATCGCCCAGCTAATCGGGTTGTTATCTACCCGGCTAGATAGACACTATCTCCCTAAAGGTATTCTATAGCAGCACTACCCGTGTCCGCAGTCGCCACCCGGATCGATAGCTGGATCCAACATCGCCACAGGAGGTACGTTAATATTAGTTCAAATTCAGTATTATATTACGTCTTCTTTTTCATATTGCATGATAATTTAATGGCAAAAGAATTAACATTTGAGTAACTGTCTTGTTTTTTATGAACATCGGAAATTATTTGCATATATAATTTTAAAAAAAAATCTTTGTTTTCCAGTTTCCGTTATGTGTTATATGTCTGCTAATTTTTAATGTTTTATCTTGCATTAATTTGTTTTTATACAGTAAGCCATGATCTAAATAGCGCATCTGTCTGTAACCCTGACCCACAAAGACCGGTCTCCCTGTTTTAGCCCCTTGATTTATGAACACGTTGTCATATCCTATTTAGATGTTCTTGTCATTTTTGTTTTTTAATTAATTAAACCTTTACAGATGTTTTAACATTGAAGCCTATTGCGTGATCAGTTATCATAATATTCTTACATTTACAGTTACATAACAGTGAAGACATGCCTAAATAACGCCCTCTCTGTAATCCAAACACGTCCTCGTGTATTGTAAATAACATATACGCGTTGATAACGTGTAAGTCAACCTTCGGTAGTGTGAGCCACGATGACATCTTCCTATCATTTTTCCTGACTTGTTTAAATTAAATTAAATTGAATTGAAACATCGTTAAATACCAAATGACCAAAATAGACATTCATTGAGGAGATTTTTTTCGAAATACTGTAACAGATTTAATATATATATCAATTAGTTGATGTATGTTGGTATACTTATGTGACGCACTCTTAAGTACTTGTTAGTTGACATTATGATTTTTTTTTTGTCCTCGTCTGTCTACGCAAAAGTGGTATTATCCTTGTGTATAGTTGTCTTTGTGTACATAAATTTGTAAGTCAATTGTATTGTATTTGTTCGAAATATATTAAGTATATTTATGCACTTTCATAGCATTTTTCCTTCTTGTGTATTGACGATCTGTTTTCTTATTAGCTTGTTTCTGTGTTAACCAGTGTCTGTGTCATTGTCTGTGTCATATTGCACATACCAGTGTATAATTTATATCATTAGTACATTATGATTGTGTGCGTCACATCATCGCGTTAGGGGAAATATCATATTACTAATACAATGTTATATATTAGATGCGTCTCAAATGGGATCAAGTTATTATATAATGATGTGGGGACACTCGCCAGAAAATGACCAACAGCCAAGAACGTTATATAGATTACTAGATCTCGGATGTCTTAGACGTTTATTGTCTGATAAAGTTTTGCGTTTGCACATTAAGGTGTAGACATGTGTTTACGAAAGACAAAGCCAGCCTTATTTGCATACGTTACTTACATGTCTTATCAACAGTCAAATGTCAATACTGTAAGTCAATAATATAGATATAGCCAATCGCTCCCGTTTGTACTTATGACGTCATTTTTAAGGTCAAATTCTGAATACTGTGGACACGGTTTTTTCATCTCCAATCGGCAGATACTCGGTATTGACATATAAGGTCCCGTTATCTAGCGAATGTCACTTATGTCCCTTGCATGCTCCTTATCTACGTTTGACAATGTGTTGCCGATTTACACCCTCAGAGAGGTAGCGGTTAACACCACCGGGATGAATTTGAGAGTAACAATCGGGGGATATCATTTTGTGAATGATAATTCATACATCATGTTTGCGTCGTGTCACATTGCATGTACCACTTAAACGATCATTTTGACGTAATCTTCTGACTATTTTTGTCGTGATGTCGTGCTTGTATATCAGATACACGCTTATAGCCTTGGATGAGCAATTTTGTGATATGTGTCAATATCTGAAATAAATAATATCATGACGCCAATTTTATTTCACCGCTTAAACAGCTAATCTCTAATGACAGTCATTTGTTTCCTCGCTTACCTATCCAGAACACCTGATCTTTTCACCTTCTACATTTTCAAGGTTTTCAATGTGAATAATTCCTTTATTTATAGTTTGCCCTAGATATATCGATTTTTAGTCCGTTTTGTTTTAAACTTCGGTATTCTCTTGTTGTTTAAATACTATTTATAACCACATTGAAATTCCTTTAAATTAAGATTTATATATTAACAGTGCTGCATTATATTTAGGTTCTGAAAACATGCATTAAATGTATTGATGTTCAAGTTTAATATATTTCTCCATTTCATATTAACTTACTTTGCTATGTCATATTTTAGATAAAAGTGTACTTTTTACACTAACCGATATTATCTGAATGCTTTTTCACTTGTAATTGCTGATCATCCCTCAGCAAGTTAAACCTATCATATACTACTATGCTGTCTATTTTATTGGAGATGTTATCTTTATTAGATTAGGATATCCGTTGCATAGTGTCGTATTGTTTGCACAACAAAAAAGCAATCGAGATATCCCCGGTGTTGGAGTGCGTGTACTTCATTATTGAGTATCTGAACGATCGTTTTATAATTCCCTCATGTAACTATTTCATTTGTGAATTGAATAATGAAAGTGGATATTGTTAACTAATTAACGAAGGACCCGTCCGGTAGGTGTATGTTTGCATGTTTTGGATATCTTATTTGTTTTAACATATTTATTGTCCAAATAAGTACAGAGGATTTGGCACAGGTTAATACAACTTATTAAACCATTTCTTATCATCAACTTTTCATTTACAGGTGATTACATTGTCAATTACAATTCCAATCAATATAATAAATTGATAATTCATGTTCAAAGTTTTATGTTGGATCTCATGTAAAATGCATAAAACATAAAAATTTCACGTCCATAGCAAGAAATTATATGCATTTTCACAATAGTAGCCACAATTTACACAACCGGAATCTTGAACTGAATTAACTCGGAAAAGATCAAATTTGAGAGAGCTACATTGATGTCGTAGCTTAGTATGTATGATATATATTTTTTTGCACGATACATATAGCAACAGGGTTGGTTTGTGGGAATAGTTTGGGATGATGCTGGTTAAGAGAAGACAATGATAGAGATATAATTGTCATTTAAAGATTACTATTTTTAATGTAGAGAGTAAGAAAGAAGTGTTTGTAGTAGACAGTCTGTAATTTGTAATGCCATAGTTCTCTTTATATATAGTTAAAGCATATGAAGTGTTTTCACCAAGCAGGGAGTAATAGATTTGATAGATAGAGTCAGCTACCTGTTCATTTCATATCATAATTGAAATTTCCTTTTACAAATGTAGCTATTCTGTCTGAAAGGACAGCATATTTTTATTTCGGATATGAAGTGGTAATAATACATATGTTCTAATTTTTTAATTTTAACTGGTCTTGATGAAAAAATTCTATAATTCTCTCCTGTTGCTCTGAATAGCGTTTTTTTCTTTCTAAACGGCCCTTGTTATGTATCGAGATAAATAGCAACAAGAAACTCTTTAACTAGGCAGCGGTGGCTTAGAATAGCTTTTTTGCTTATTAGAATTCTAAACAACGGAGATTCGCGCCAGAAAAGCGCCGATCGATTTTTATTGTGTAAACAACACGAGTAAAATTAAAGCGAAAATATTATCTGATGAAAATAATATCGCTATGGACATAAGCAAAATGATGTATGGTAGATAAGACTGTTTTCTGCATTTAATCAGCAAACGCATGTAGCAAAACATGCACATATTTAATTAAGCCACAGTAAAAAATACACCTGTATCTCTATACGATTTGGTATCACTTACCTGTATCTACAATATGATAGCATACACCTGTGTCTACTATATCTTATCATACACTTATATATCTACGATATGATATCATTCACCTGTATCAACAATGTCTCATTGATTGTATACATGATGAGAGGCAAATGGATTGTAATTCGTACACCGATACATTCAGTAGAACGTGTCATTGTCAATAGAACAGAATAATTCTACAACTCAAAACTCACTTCAAAACTAACAGGATATAAGCCGCGATCAGCTGAAAACTAAAAAACAAATAATTCGGGCATTTTGTGAAACTAATTTTCGGTGGTGTACCCCACATAACATTTAGTATTTAAGTATTTTCTTTTGTTATAGTAATGAATACTGTTGAGATTCCAACTATTTGCCATCAATCTCATCTTTCTTTAATCTAGACTAAACATAAATAGAAATGGACACTTTGGAAGTATCCATCCGAAGCATTCAGTATGAGAAAGGTTTCAAGTTGTTGAAGAGTAAAACAATTTCGACTTCATGATAATAACTAGGATACGACTTAAGGAAGCACAAATTGAAAACAATGTAGTAGGTTGATGCAGAAAGCCAGACATAGTAAACATTTACTGCACAATATATAGCTTTATTGTAGATACTTAGATCAAACTTTCATGTCTAAAATGTTCCAAAATGCATTTAGAAATACAGCAAAGTGGGAGGTGGCTATGACAAGTGAACGTAAAAGTCACATATTTTTTACACCTATAAAACTTTGTAATAGATATAGTTACCAAAAGTGAACGTTAAAATCACAAATCTTTTTACACCTATAAAACATTGTAATAGATACTATATACCAAAAGTGAACGTTAAAGGCACACATCATTTTACACCTATAAAACTTTGTAATAGATACAGTATACCAAAAGTGAACGTAAAAGGCACACATCATTTTCCACCTATATTTTTTTGTAATAGATACACTATACCAAAAGTGAATACACTGCACCATAACAGCTATTCCATCCTTCAAGGACTCATTGGTGATACTAGGGGCCAAACACCTGCAAATCTCAATAGGTCTAATCTACTGTTGAAACAGAAGGGGGAGTTCGTTAAACCCTTATATTAATTTCAAAAAATAGAGGGGTACTGGTAAGGCGAGTAAAGTGTGTATATTGTGAACCATGACACTACTCAAATAACAAAAAGTTGGTTATGAAGTTTATAGAAAACCTCGGGGACTAAAAGATCCACCGGCAGAGTTTACCACCTAGATGTTACAGACAAACATCAGATTACACTTATAAAGTGTGTTAAGGAATCATCTATCTAAACAATCAATAAGTCGATACAGATTGCTTCACAAACTTAACATTCTTACAGCATCGTACGGCTGTTTTCGTCCGTTTATTACACATTGTTGGTGCTATAGGTGTCTTACTTGTTCCGAAACAAATTTACAATACAGCAAAAGGGAGAAAGTGACTATACCAGCATTTAAAGCCTATGAAGACCTTTAAAGTTTAAAGATTAATATTCTAGTTTTTGGCTACAACAGCTATTTCAGTTTTAAACTAGTATTTAAACAGGCTATATAATTCAGAATAGAATTCAGCTACAAGTAAATATTTACTGCGCCATGAAGCGATTTCATCTATTGAGGGCTTACCAGTGGTACTAAAGGCAAAGAGAAAGTACATTAATTTTCAAAGTGTCCCAAACAGATGTAAAAATAACGCAAAATGGGAGAGGTGCCTATACAACCCTTTAAACGTTAAAATGAAACATTTGGTAACAGATAAGTATTTTTTGTAAACCATGGCAGAATAAATTCCAGCTTCAGGTGTTATATATTTGTTACAGGTATAGAATATTGATTTTCAGAAATCCACTCATCCCAAAGGCTATATTTAATGTACAAATAATTAGAATGTCATAATCAATATGGGAATCTTAAACTTAGCCACTTTGGCGTCGCCAAAAGATGACATCACAATGTTCAAAGCACAATGAAATGGCACCTAGTGTTTTTTTAAGACACTCGAGATTTTCATTCATTCGGTAGCTATTTATCAAACGCAGTCATGAAACATATGTTTACAGTAATAGAAAAGAAACACATTGAATCATTATGAATATTAAGTGAAAAGTAACGAAAAATATCATACGAATGAAAAGGCGCACAGAGATACGCTCAGTGTGACCAATTCAAAATGTATGTCAATGTCTGTTAACGTTCGATTTCCAGTAGACCGAAATAGCTGACTTGACTATCTCCTTTTAAAACTATTTGATGTGGCGCAGTTATGTCGGGATAAATTTCCAGAGCATTTGTAACTTTAGAGACAAACTGTTTCTGCAGGTAGGGCGTAAGAATTGTACCTGCTGCCCCCATCGCATGATCGTAAGAGGCGACTAAATTTGGAATCTTATCTTTTCTCTTCTTTCTAAACAACTTTCTTCTTCCTAGTGTCTCCCTTGACAGTGCCTTACTTTTGGCTTTTAGTTGAGCGTTCCCCCCTGTGAGGAAGTCTTTGGGTTCTGTCCCCTGATCGAGACATACCAAAGTCTGTAAAATGGTAGTTTCTACTCCTGCTTAACGCTCAGCAATTTAGGAGTGGTACGACTGGTTCGCCGGTTGTCAGTATAATGTGACCGGGTAGGGGTGTCCTGCTGGGTGACTTCGGCAGTATGTTTCAGTGAGGTAGCACTATAAAGTCGGCATCAAACACGAACATAGTACACTACAAGCATGCATCTGGCACACAGGGGTGGCCGTCTTTAAATTACCATAGCTGTTGATAGGACGTTAAACAACACTAAACCAAACCAAACTAAAGACAATCTGTTGTCTTTACTCTCTGTTGATAGCTGTCTTTCTTTTTATGTCCAATTTAATGCAGAATGAGTTTTTGTCATTCATCAGTGCGATATTTTAACGGAATTACATCTCTTCTTCGTCCAAGTTGTCAAATGGCCCTACCTAAACGGAATAAAGCATTCTTTGGATCATGTGCTTGTTTTTTTCTCCATTTTATCTATCTGTCGCTTAAACAAAGTGTATCTCAATGAATGTATATAGTAGTTAAGGCTGGTGCTGCTTCTGTGGAATTGGAGAACACTAGTTCGTCCGTACTTATGATTTACGATAAAACGTTATCATGTGTTGATTAGTTTTTTCGCCTGATTATAAACATGTAAACTTCAGCGTTATATTTGATATTTACTTCTGGATTAACGACAAAGGTGTAAGTGTGTGTGTGTGTGTGTGTGCGTGTGTGTGTGTGTGTATAAAAATGCATTAAAATTAGGTTATATTTAGTTTCTCAAAATTTCAACTATTTCAAGTAGACTGTTGTGTTTCTTATCTGGGTCTCAGGGTCACCAATATCACCGACTTCAACGTAGGTCAGTTTTCACCTCGGGTTTCGTGTTATCATTGACTAAGTCGGGGAATCGACCTCGCATTAAGGGGCACAACAAAAAGTCTGTCATGATACAAATCTTAATCAGATCCTTATACATAAATAAAGAGGTATACTGTGTTGTATTTGTAAGTAAGTAGATGCATTAAAAATATTGATGTTTAATAAAAATGTTCCTGATAAAATCGTTTAAAACAAGTGCTTTCCCTTACTTCAAAATGTGTACACAAATTGAACGTGTTACTATATCACCTTGTAGTCTGTCCTAATTTAAAAGAATGACATTCGAAATGAATTACTTTTAACAAGTGATAGCTATACGCGCTGTACACATACATGGTTACTTTCCATCGTTCACTTCCTACAGCTACAGTATCACCAACTCGTCATTTCAAAAGTGCTCCAGTGTAAGAATTTACAAATTTAAATGGCCGTCGTTGGATATTTAGTCAATACGACTATGGTATCAAATACTAAATCTGATTAAACTATATATATATATATATATCTAAAATATTTACACTAATAATTAAATTTGAAGAATATTTCATAACTTTCCAAAATGTATATGTGTGCTTGGGATCTAGGCAGATAATTGAAGCAGTACTGAGAAACTGTATATTTTCCTCTCGTGCCTTTCGATTTTAGTAAGCCCTGTTGTTTGTTGCTTTCTGATCAAAATTCCTTATATAGAGTTAAAATCTTTATACATTATGACAATAAATATTCGTTTTGAAGATGTGTTCGATTATGTATTCATTTTAGCTTTGTAATGGTATTCAATACTCAGAAATTATTACGTTCTACAGCGGCGATATTTTATAAAAGTAACACATTCGGTAATTAAGAGGGAAATTTATCATAAATTCGACAAAAGATTCTTTTGTCCTGTTATCGTTTTAAAAAATTGTTTTCAGAAAACAGAAAAATCTATTTCCTGAAAAACATTCTTATTGTAACTAAGTACAACATGTTACGGTATCAGGACAGAATCCAAATCCTTTGGACGAACACTAAAAACTTCAAAATTATTGTATTCCTTTGAAATCAATTATGGGTCTTTAATAGAAAGTTTAACATGTTGTGCGTTCGAAAAACAAATGAATTACTTAAGTGTTCACGAAGACGTTAAATTGTCTTCATACATATACCGTCGGGCAACACCGTTTTTATATAAATTCCATTGTTAAAACAAGCTAATTCTAATAAATTAATGTTTAAAAACATTTCACAATTTGACTGAATTGTATTGTGTTACCCAATGTTTAAGTGCTCAGTTAGATAAATAAAAGAAAAATAAGCAAAACTTTCAGTACGTGATCAGACGCAAAATGTGACTTTATTTTTATATTGACACAAATTTGTTAAAAGTGTACCCAATATTAATAAATGAATGGTAAAGCAGCATACAAACAGTATATTTGAGAAATTTTAGATTTTACACATTTTAACAACATGTAGAATGTAGATCTAGTTCAAACATCCATGTGTCATTCCCACTTCAGCAACCCGAAAACCCCGCGTAACGGCAGGTGCCAAAAGTACCGTAAGGAACTCTTCAGCACCCATTGACTGTCATCAGGCGGATTGAATGGCGTCTACTACTTTCGAGGTTGATGATGTGGAAAACTCTGTGAAGTCTTCACCTTCTGTAACAGTTTATGCAGAAACGAATGGGCAATACATGAGTGTTCCAACCGAAGATGACAAGAAAGTGAAGGTAAGTTCTAATGAAACTTTCAATTAGTTCCACAGGTGTCAAAACAATCAGTCAAAGTACTGTATAATACAGTAACTGTTATACACAGTCACAGTACAGACCACAGTAGTCGTAGGACTAATGTTATTTGTTATCAGTGGAAAATAAAACCGCTGATATCAAAGATCATATCTTATCTACTGGTAACTGTTAAATCTTTGTTAAACCAAACAACTGTTTAACAATTAGAGTGTCGGTGATGAGACCGCTTTGTCGTAACAGGGCACGAATTCAAAGAGCACGATCAACTTTTTCAACTGACACTTGATCTTCATGTAAACAATGGGGAACAACTCTTTCTTACTTGGCAAGTTTCATTGCATGTGACCCATGGATCTTACAATTATATGCGTTAGTAAGTTTAAACAGTTAATATTTGCTGTTTATGCTAGGAATATATGTTGACCTTCAAAAAGTCTGTATTCATGTAAAATATACTGGAGAGCTGGGAAAACATGCTGACAGCTATAACAAATTCTTCTCTCAAAATCTTTCAAGTCCATGTAAAGATGCAAAGTTAAATATAAGTTCTATGATAATTTTTATACAGTATATTATAAAATACTGTTGTTTAACAGAACAATTAGCAATAATGTAAAATATTGCCTGTTAATCACACTGAAGAAAAAATAATGGCACTCCCAGGGCAATCTATAGCTGTTGTGTATCTGTAATTAATTGACTGCAGCCACTTGTGGTAATATTACTTGTATTTTGAACAAATGTAAAAGAATCCTTCCGTATGACTAAGATTAAGAATGTCCATCGATCATTTTGAAAAAGATCTGTAATAGGTTAAAGTTCTATTTTTCAATATGTAAACCCTTGTAGTTCATTTCTGAAATCTCATTTATTTACTACACAAATGTAAGCATGAATATGGTCACTAACATGAAAACTATGTTTATCTATAGAACATAATTCCATCTATATTTGATACTTTACAGAGACCAAAATTAAGTCAAAATGGCGTAAGTGTGGAGGTAATATAAATAGAAGTTGTGGGTCATGTTTACATGGTCAGCGAATGATATAATCATTTGCTCATTGCTGAAATAGCTCCTTTAATACAACCTGACCTACCTCAGTGTTCTGACTTAATGGTAGACCCATAAACAATCACCACAAAACACACACGTCAATGGGAATCAGTTACTCCATAGACCAAGTTGTCTATGGAGTTATTTCCTAGCAAGTGAAAAGATTCAATAGTAAGTATAAGTTGAAAGAAAAGTTGTGAAAATATACTTATAATTTCCTCATGTCATGAAGCCTTATCTACACATATATGAGCAAGTAAAATGTCCATGGTCTAGTCTTGTCTTTGAAAATTTCAGTAGGTCTATAATTAAGAAGTCTATCTTGTAGACCTGTTATTTATGAGTATGGAAATTCTAAATTCCAAGACTGTTACCTCCCTTTCAATTGTAACATCAGTAATTTTAGTAATTAGGAAAATTTTGTCATATCGATTAGAAATCATGCAATTTCTGTTATTTTTTCATTTTCGGTAAATATTTTATAAATAGTTGGGTATGATTATACTTACTGTTCAGTTTCCTTAGAGCCTTTATCCTGCATTTAATTTTCATGATTCGTTCCCCTTCTCAACGATATTGCATATATAGATCATCAGCACCTTGTCTTCAAGCAAAAATAGCATTAATAATGATGAATATTTAGATTTGTAAATTTTTCTCCAAAATGATGGAGTATAACTGTATATATTTTTTAACTGATTTTGAGTAACTATTTGTAGTATGGCTAAAGAGTTTATTTATTATGTAGTACAGTATTTGCACTACGAAGAATGAGCTAGATGTTTGATTTTGCGAGTTTAATATCTAGTACCTTAAACATTTTTTTCTGTTTTAAAACAAGATAATTAAATAAATGTCAGGTTGTAATAGTTTCTTACCTGTGATGAAAAAAGTGATACAGTTATATATATATGTCATATTGTCAAGTCCTGGATATAACCAATACTCCTATTAAATAAATAACAAATCATGATATATACATAAGTAATAGCTTGGCCTCTGGAACGACTGAGTGGGCATTGATTAAGATGCATAAGATGGGACAATCAATGTTTGATAAGAGTAAGAATTGTAAAACTCCATTCCATGCCAAACAATTTCCCCCTCTTAAGCGAGTTTTTCCCATCTAAAACTAAGAAAACCATGAGCGGACTCAAACTGAAAACCTTAGGTGATTAAAAAAAGATAACCAACCAATCCTAATGCTAAATGAAATCAAGCTTTAGATCGCTCGGGAAAATTCAAGCTTTGGATTGCTGGTGATTCTATACATAATTCAAGCTTTGGATTGCTGGAGCTTCTATACAAATTTCAAGCTTTGGATTGCTGGGAATTCTATACAAATTTCAAGCTTTGGATTGCTGGGGATTCTATACAAATTTCAAGCTTTGGATTGCTGGGGATTCCATACAAAATTCAAGCTTTGGATTGTTGGGGATTCTATACAAATTTCAAGCTTTGGATTGTTGGGGATTCTATACAAAATTCAAGCTTTGGATTGCATGGGCTTCTTTACAAAATTCAAGCTTTGGATTGATGGGGCTTCTATACAAAATTCAAGCTTTGGATTGCTGGGGATTCTATACAAATTTCAAGCTTTGGATTGTATGGGCTTCTTTACAAAATTCAAGCTTTGGATTGGTGGGGATTCTATACAAATTTCAAGCTTTGGATTGCATGGGCTTCTTTACAAAATTCAAGCTTTGGATTGCATGGGATTCTTTACAAAATTCAAGCTTTGGATTGGTGGGAATTCTATACAAAATTCAAGCTTTGGATTGCATGGGCTTCTATACAAATTTCAAGCTTTGGGTTGCTGGGGATTCTATACAAATTCAAGCTTTGGATTGCTGGGGATTCTATACAAATTTCAAGCTTTGGATTGCATGGGCTTCTATACAAATTTCAAGCTTTGGGTTGCTGGGGATTCTATACAAATTCAAGCTTGGGATTGCTGGGGATTCTATGCAAATTTCAAGCTTTAGATTGCTGGGCCTTCTATACAAAATTCAAGCTGGAGTGCCTGGGCTTCTATACAAAATTCAAGCTTTGGATTGTTGGGGCTTCTATACAAAATTGAAGTTTTAGATTGCTGGGGATTCTATACAAATTTCAAGCTTTAGATTGCTGGGCCTTCTATACAAAATTCAAGCTGGAGTGCCTGGGCTTCTATACAAAATTCAAGCTTTGGATTGTTGGGGCTTCTATACAAAATTGAAGTTTTAGATTGCTGGGGATTCTATACAAAATTCAAGCTTTAGATTGCTGAGCCTTCTATACAAAATTCAAGCTTTAGATTGCAAGGGAATATATATATATCAAATATAAACACTTCCTATTTGCTCAATAAACATTCCTGTATTTATCTTTTCAAAGAAACAGTCTTCATCCAATATGGATGTAATCAATTTGTATTTATAGAGTTGGAATGTTGAACACATTCAGTTCAATCTCTTTGACTATGATTATTTACTTCAGTTGATCTTAACCATATAAGATATGATTATTTATGCATGTACAACCATTCATTTACAATTTTTTGGCCAAAAGGGCCAAGTGAGCTTATGCTGTGGTGTTTCATCCTTTGTTTATATGGCTTTAAATGACTTCTTCTCAATAACCAACAGGCTAAAGGTGACATTTGGCCAGTAGCATACTGGGATAAAGGGCTACCAAGTTTGTTCAAATGAGGGACCTTGACACACTTTTGTTTAAGGTATCAGGGGTCAAATTTGTTAAAATATTAAAATTATACAGTTACTTCTTCTCAATAACCAAAAGGCCCAGGATGATGATATTTAGCCAGTAGCATGCTTGTGTTCAGGGCTACCAAGTTTGTTTGAATAAATGGCCTTGACCTTCTTTCAAGATCATAGGGGTCAAATGTGTTAAAAAAAATCAATAACCAAAAGGCCTAGAGTGATGATACTTGCCCTGAATGTTGGCAAGTAGCTTACAGGAATGAAGGGCTGCCAAGTTTGTTCAAACGAATCACCTTCAAGGTCAGAGGGATCAAATGTGTTAAAATATTAAAATAGACTCTCAACAGCCACCAGGCCTAGGGCAGCGATGTTTGACCAGTGGCATGATCGGATGAAGGGCATTAAACTTCGTTCAAATGGAGGACTTTGACCTGCTGTAATTGATCCACAGGTCTTAAATGTGTTAAAATCTTTGAACAGGTTCATCTGAATAACCAAGAGTTGCATTTGGCCTTTAGCTTAATTTAGTCCAATTTAGGCCATTTTGATACATTTGACCTTGGTCACAAGCAACTGGTGTGAGATGAATACCAGGTGACAGATATATTAAGGCCCATTGGGGTTCTTGTTAACTATTTACACTTTTTAGCTTAAATTTGAAGTATTTCTTTTTGTAAATGTCTTATCTACAGTGTTGTTTGGCCCAAAATGACTTAAAAGATTTTCAATGGCAGGAAACAAATACAGGCCTATTATGATAAAACAAATATAATTGGTGACTACCTAAATACCCATAGAAAGTGAAAGTGGTATAGGGTCTGGTTTGTAGGTTGAAGACCTTGTTGAAGGACAAAGGAATGTTGTGAAACTAGACCAGAACAATGTGACCAAGTACTACAGTTTGTGCAAGTGTCAGTCTAGAGTTCAGAGGTCCTGGGTTCAAGTCCTGGTCTTCGACCCTGTGATTTTGAATCCTCATTGACGATTATTAAACTCACCTAGCTCCATGTCAGTTAAAACTTCATTGATGATTAGCA